AGTCCCAAACTTACATCAAAAGGCACGTCAAGTATTCACTTTACTGTTTTACACATTTGGTCTAATTTATAACATATATGCACGAAGATATCTCTACGAACATGTGTCCCCAGTACAAAAGCTGTTTAGAATAATTATGGACATTGATCTTTATGCTCACACGTACCATAGTTTAATAAACGTGATGATTTTTAAACGGCGTAACTTGTTACAACTGTGCAGAAATTTGTACATTTCCGGACTGAAAATGGGTACAACCAAGAATTATTTTTGGATTTTCGTAATCACACATTTAATATTTTGTGCATCTCTTAGTGTGATTACGTATGCTTGGAATATCATGGTCGGTGCTTATTTTTTCAAAATGTACCTCGTCGAATTATTCCAGTTTTACATAATATTTTTTTACACATTCTTTGGTTGTACATTGTTAGATATGGTCTTACAGAGGTACCGTTTTCAAAAAGCCTTATTATTAGAAACCCAACTCAACAAAAACGACAACGACCAACGATTTAATAACATCAGAAACGACCTTTCCACACTCAAGGAAAATATTGACATCTTCAACGAAATTTTTGGTTGGACTATACTTCTATTAATTTTTTTTGCTGTCGTGAAGGCACTTATATATGTAGACATTGTACTGAAAAACACATATTCCAGCTTCAATGTTACCACGAGTACATTGCATTTTGTTGCCAACATAAACGTTATCTTCCAGCTTTGGGTAAGTAAATTTTGACATTTTAATGGTTCTAAAACATTTGCATTATAGATTGGATCTACTATTATTATTTCCTTTTGTGATGCCATCTTGGTCGAATTCAACAAAATATTACTCGCTGCACACAAACTGGAAATGCGTGCTGTAGTTTTCGACAAAAGCACTAAAGTGCGAGCTTTTATTGACGCCGTTGCAAATTTTCGGCCTCAGTTTACAGCAGCCCGGTTTTTCACGGTTACAAGAGCAACCATCTTTCATATGTTGAACGCCTTTGTTACTTTTTTAATTGTCACGATTCAAATTAATTTAAGTTAATGTTGCCTTATTATTTATTATTCCCAAAATATAAAACAGTGTAACGGTTTAATATCATAAAATAAAACACTAATTAAGGGTTCCTATAAATGATTACAGGGCCGAAGTAGGTCATGGAAACATGCCGCCTATCACTCTGTATGAATTTTACTAAAATTTTTTAAAGTGGAAAATAAACCCCTACCAACAAAGATGATTATAAGAACAGTGGCGACCTCTATTAACACTAAAATTTACAACAAATATTAGAACCCAATTTTCTGTACATGCATAGGAATGGTGAATCGAACAATATATAATATAAATGTCAATCTCTTAAAGCTTAAACAAACATTATTCAGTTTATGGGAACCGAATTGAATACTTTCAGTGAGCCACGAGCTCTACTCAAATTAGCACATGCATTATAATAATAGTAAAAATAATAAAACAAACCTGAAACACCTAGTGTATCTCGAGGTTAAATCAAATTGTGTGTGTAATTATTATTTATCGATTCCGACATTACTCATAAAACATTTAGTTATTCTGAAACACGAAATATTGAATAGCTCGTAGGTATATTCCATTGGTATGAAAACAATCAAAGTGTTGCTTAGTTTTGGAAGTTTCATCAAAATAACACCCACCCTGACAGGAAGTGATCATTATTCAACAACTGAAAGACAGTGCCGGGCTTGCCTATTTGTACTGTATTCAATCGCATTTATGTACAGCATTTATTACATGTACAAAGACGTAACCAAAATTAACCACATTGATTTTGTATTGAGTATTCTAAAAGACGTTATCAACTTCTGTTTCAGTTCATATACTCTTATTATTGCTTCCTTTTTTAAAAAACAAAAATGGTATTCATTTTTTAAAAAACTAGATAGTATCCAACGAGGTGTTCAGAAAGATAAGTACCACTATTATATCACTTTGTCAATTTTCAGCGTTGTGATCAATATTATTCTGAATTCTTATTGCTTGTTGGCTATAACTGGCAAAGAAGTCTTAAATGTGTATTTTATCGCAATATTTCAGGCCTGTATTCTAATATTTTATTTATTGTTGACTTATGCTGGCACACAAAAAATTCTAAAGGTATATCAAACTCAAAGTTCTTTGTTACGTACGACAAAAAGTACTCGTAGTACTTTAAAAAACATTAATTATAAATTGTTTCTACTGAAAGAAGTTGTTATTATTTTTAACGACATATTTGGATGGCCTGTTCTATTTTGTTTTCTGTCTGTCGGAAATAGTACCCTTGGGTTTTTGAACAACCTAGCGAAGGGAGCCTACGTCAGCTTTCTGAGTTATACTACACTGTTTCAGTTATTTGTTACTTCAGAATTACTGATACTACTGTTTTGTTGGGTAAGTTAATTTTAGCACGTAAATGTTCGTTAACACCTACAATTTCAAGATTGGTTTGTTAACTATTACTTTTTTGCTTCATTCGGTTGTAACTGAATATGAAGATATATTAATTATATTATATAAACTGGAAACTAACAGAAGCCAACAAAATCTACGCATCTGTATTAAAACAACTTTGAGATACCATCCACATTTTACAGCTGCTGGATTTTTTACTGTCAAGAGATCTGTTATTGGAACGATGCTCAATACCGTGGTCACACTTTTACTAATTCTTATACAGTTGTAGAAATGTGTTCATTTCAGCTAGCAAACCAATTCCATAACAAACAACGAAATGAAAGTCTGAGAATGTATAAAAAAAGTAAAAGGTACTTAATTAACAGAAAACCAGAAAGATGGAGAACATTATGTGTAATAAAAAACGTTAAAAGGAATGTAGCATTTTATTAATTTTTTTTCCTTTTAAGTGCAATTGAGCTATCTATTTCAAAGGTAACAATGGATCCACGCAAGAAAAAGCCTTATCGATACGACAAACATTCGATTCATGAGAATGAAATTGAATACTTATCTCTCTATATAGTATCTTCTATATTTCTTTTTGGTATGAAAACACTAAAAGTGTTGCTTAGCTTTGGAAGTTTCATAAAAATAACACCCACCTTCACACAAAGTCAACGTTATTATGCAAGAGAATGGTACTACCGGACTTGTCTATTTTTACTTTATTCAATAGCATTTATATACAGCCTTTTTTACATTTACAAAGACGTAAACACAATAAACCCCGTCGATTTCGTTTTAACTGCTTTAAATGTGTCGATCAACTTTGGTTTTAGTTCATATATTCTCATTATGGCATCCTTATTTAAAAAAGCTCTGTGGCACTCGTTTTTTAAAAAACTGAAAAATATTCAGCCTAGTGTTCACAACGATAAGTACCATTACTATATTATTTTGGCACTTTTGATTTTTTTCGTTACTGTTATTATTAATTGTTACTGTTCGTTCATTATTATCGGTATGGAAGTCTTGAATGTATTTTTTATCGCAATATTTCAAACTTGTCTGTTAACATATTATTTATTGTTAACTTAACTTATGCTGGAGCACAAGAAATTCTGCAAATATGTCAAACTCAAACTGTTTTGCTTAGTACCGTAACAAATCTTTCGTATGACAGTATTTTTGAAAAAGTTAGTTATAAACTTTTTCTACTAAAAGAAGTTGTTGCTATCTTTAACGACATATTTGGGTGGCCCATTTTATTTTGTTTCCTGTCTGTCGGAAATGGTACCCTTGGGTATTTGAATAATCTAGTGAGAGGTGGCTATGCCAGTTTTCTCAGTTACACCACATTGTTTCAGTTATTTGTTACTGCTGAGTTAATGTTACTACTGTTATGTTGGGTAAGTTTATTTTAGCAAGTAAATTCCTTGTTAACACCTATCATTTCAAGATTTGTTTGTTATCTGTTACGTTTTCTGTTTTGTTATATAAGCTGGAATCGTCGTCCATTATAAGAAGTCGACAAAATCTTCGTGTCTGTATTAGAACAATATTAAGATATCATCCACACTTTACAGCTGCTGGATTTTTTAATGTTAAGTTGTCCGTTTTCAGTACGATGCTCAATACTGTAATCACACTTTTACTTATTCTTATACAGTTGTAAGAAATTATTATAATATTAAACATTGTTTTTAATTTATATAATTCCTAACTACATAAGCATTTTAATTGTTAAGATACAAAAACAGTTCTCTGGCATATGTCACACTAGAAATCAATAAATACTTTCGTCTAAAACTAATTTCTAATTTCTTGACTTCAATGGAATTAATCAAAAAGTGTAATAAAAAACTTGACCCAAACCAACAGAGTAAATACCATTAGATAAAATTAATTTTGTTTTGTTGACTGAATGGATTTAGCTAGTAGGTGCAAAACATGTTTGATACACAACTATAAATAAAATAAGTGACTGTTATACTTATTGATTTTTTACATACATTGTGTTACCTTTGATGACTGTGTAAATAATAGTCGCCACAAGCATTCGTTTTACAAATTTGAACACGTGTGATGATAATGGACTTTATAAAACATGTGTTTTTATATACTGTGTTGTCATTTATTTATTACAAATGATTTGAAACTAAATAAAAATTTGTTAATACACCCCAGTGGTAGTATTTCCTGACTTACCATAACTGCTATGAATGAATGCCACAGAGCAATTAGGATGACAATGGTGAATGAATGATATATACCAGAACCCCAGGTTGGTCCGCGAAATCACGCGATTTTGTGATACAGCATTCCAAAAATTGCCAAATTTTACTTTTTTGATTCTGGAAAAAGTAGTAGCAGTAGGAGATTTTGAAACAATATTGTAGCGTTAAACTTCAGGTCTGCTCGTCCAAGCTCGTATTCCCGCCCCTCAACTTTTTTTCTAACACATGCACCTGAAGTTCTGCCTAAATAATTTCCAAGATTTTGTTATTGAGTGCAAGAATGAAGGAAAGCGACACACTACGGTAGTTAAATAATTTAATTTATGAAATTATAATAATATAAAGTCCATAAAACAAAATAACAATATATATGTACAAACAAAATGAATATATCAAATATCTAGTCTAAAACAAATGTAAGATATAAGTCACTCCTGCGGTCGATGTCTCCCCATTAAGGTCTGTCTGAGCCTCAAATTTCCAGAAATAATTCCTGGGAGGTGCATCCTTCCAACTCCTCTAACCGTCATTATTTTCGCCAAATCCTCTGGCTTCTCGAAATTTTTGACGAAGTTTCTATATTCCCTGCCGGTGGACTCGAGTTCCTCTTGCGGGAAAGTCTCCACAGTGCGGGTTGGCGATGAACTTCTTTGTAGAGCCATGGCTTGGAAATATCTGAAAAAAGAACAAGAATTAGAAACAATTTATATGAATCAATAAAAGGTATACTTACAATTTTGCTGTGATTAAAGTGTCTGGTATGTTAGCTCTGTGACGTCAACATTAAGACTAAACATCGACGGTTTGTTTCATCTTTATATATATACACTGTGTAGCACCCCCACCCTATTCACCCCGCCCTGTCACCCTTACTTTCTCTCCACCTTATTAATTCTACGGAGGCGGGGTGGGATGAATAATGTTGGCGTGCTACAGCTTCCACAAACTGGTTACATTCTGGAAAACGAAATCAATAACAGTATCTCTTTTGATCATTTTTGAAAATTCTCCGAAAAGGCAAAACAATTTCGTTGTTTTGAAAACTTAACTTTCGATGAAATTGCATACAAATTCTCTAAAAGTTGTAGGTCTTGATTCTGGACGAGCTGAACCAATAATGGTAGCGGATGAAAATTTTCTAGCTATTTAATTAGCTGTTAAATTGATATTTTTAAAAAACCTCAAAAAATACCATATTTTATTTTGCCACTTCTTGAAAAAAGATAGCATGTTTTGAATAAATTAAACCAAAAACAAGTTTTGGAAGTTGAAATAACACCATACACTATATAACTACTCTTGGTAATTTTGGAAAAGCCAAAAATTAAAATTTACGAAGTATATTGTTTTCACATTGACGTTTTGAACAATCACAAAAATTGACTTATTTTGGCTGTTGTGGGGATGAGTAGGAATTTTTGAAGAAATTAAACCAAAAACAAATTCTCGAGATCGAAATCAATAATTATTGAAAATTCTCGGAAATTGTAAACAAATTCTCAGGACCATCATTTGTTTCTGCAGCTAATAATCTTTCGTACTGACCTTTAACGATTAATGAATACATGAATGAGCGAATGAAACACTGTACGTTTATCTGTGGTTACAATGATTGCATGTACTTCGGAATCACCTTGTATTTCCGACGGGCATTACACTTTTTAATTAACACTAGAAACTAAATTCTAAAAGATCATTCTTGCGTAGACAATCAGGACCAACGCAAAAGGCATCGGTATTTCCTGGTGTAGTTTACTTATAGATAAAAAAAATAGTCAACATATTACGTTTATTTGAATCCATTCTAGTAGTTTTATTGATTTAAACTTTGTTCGGTAATTGTTAGCAGCATTGTGTTTACTTGTTTAGTTTCTGTAATATAAATTGTTAAAATGAAAATGAATTTTATTCTTTACCTCTTCCTAAGTGCAACTTAGTTATGCATTTCCAACGAAAATAACACAATCGACAACACTATTAAATATTCAGTATTGAAAATGCACTTGAATACTCTTCTACTGAGCAACATAGTTTCATCGAACTCTGCACAAATTAGCAGCAACTGATAATAATAAATAAAACCGGAAGCAGCTAGTGTATATAGCTACAACAAGGCTATTCCTAGTGGTTTATTATGCACACAAATTCTAGAATTGAACAAATTGTGTGTTTGTGTAATTTTTAATCCCAAAGTTATTAAAAAAATTGGGTTAATTTTGAAAGATAATGTTAATATAATTATATTTTTGTTTGGTATGAAAACAGTCAAGATATTGTTTAGCTTTGGCAGCTTCATTAAAATAGCACCGACTCCCACAGGAAGTCACCGTTATTCGGCAACTGAAAGATACTACCGAATTTGTTTATTCGTACTGTATTCAACAGCATTTATGTACAACGTATGTTACATTTACAAAGACATAGACACTGTTGGATTTTTATTAGTTGAAATTAAATAAATGGACTGTATTTTTTACTTGTTTTTATTTTACTACCTCCGATGGTTACATTGCAACGATCCGACTTACACTACTAATGTCCATACAAAAATGTCATGATATTAGGGGGGAAATAGCCCGTCCAAACCCCGCCGCCAGAGGTGGTGCGAGCCGCACTTCAGACGGCGGCCGCCTTAGAAGGTTGAAGATCCGCACACGTGCAGCTGCCTTACAAAGACACCGCCAACACGTGGAGGCCGCACCGACAAAATATAAAAAATGTCCTAAACAGACACAATGAAAAACGTCGATTTGGTTTTGGGTATTTTAAACGAGATTGTTCAGTTCAGCTTTGGTTCATATACTCTTGTTATTGCATCCTTATTTAAGAAACATCAATGGCATTTATTTCAAAAAAAACTAAATACTGTTCACCCTAATGTTTACAGTGATAACTACCATTACTACATCATTTTAGCAATCTTCACCTTTTTCGTCATTGTTATTGTTAATACCTATTGTTGGTTGGTTATTATTGGCACAGAGGTTCTGAATGTCTATTTTATCGCAATATTTCAAATTTCTAATCAACTGTATTATTTGTTGTTGACTTATGCTGGGGCACAAGAAATTCTGAAACTATATCAAACTCAAACCTCTTTGCTACGTACAGCAAGAAGACGTTCGTACAACAGTACTCTTAAAAGTGTTAATTATAAACTTTTTCTATTAGAAGAAGTTATTGCTATCTTTAATGACATATTCGGATGGCCTCTTCTATTTTGTTTCCTGTCTGTCGGAAGTAGTACCCTTGGGTATTTGAATAATCTGGTGAGAGGTGGCTACGCCAGTTTTTTCAATTCCACCACATTGTTTCAGTTATTTGTTACCACTGAATTGACGTTACTATTATTGTTGTGGGTAAGTTAATTTTAGTACGTAGATGCATACAAGTTAACACTTATTATTTCAAGATTTGTTTATTAAGTGTGACGTTTCATCTTCATTCGGTTGTAACTGAATATGAAAAAATATTAATTACATTATATAATTTGGAAACGTCGTCCATTACGAAAAGACAACAAAATCTTCGTATCTGTATTAAGACAACATTGAGGTACCATCCACATTTTTCCGCTGCTGGATTTTTTACTGTTGAGAGATCCGTTGTTGGAACTATGCTCAATGTCGTAATCACGCTTTTGCTTATTCTTATACAGATATAAGAATGTTATTGTAAATTAAACACAATATTTAAGTAAATAAACTAATGTCGAAACTTATACTTCACTGGAATAGTCTGATCGTATTACTAGAATTAGACTAGCACAGATCAAACCAGAACCAAGTAGTTACATGTCACATGAAGTGAAATCACTGATCAGTATTATATAATGTAAATAAATTTAAATAAGTTTTTTATAAATTGGATTCGTCTTTACCAATGCCAAATTTTGGTTTCCATAACAAATTCACATAAAAATCAAGGTGCTTTTGTGTATCTAAACCGTTAATTAAGAAGCAATTCTATCATTTTAGAACCATTGTATACCTGCTTTTGCTAACGTGTACAATTATTTTTTGACACTTATTCCAGCAAAGATTTTCTTCTTTTTTTGAACTTAATTTATTATTTCCGTTAACTTAAATGAAAGCAATAAAAACACTTTAGACTGGCATAGTAATAAAGTCGATCGGCACACACTTCACTGTGAGAGGCGTGCCCGAGAATAATCGTTCTAAAATTCCAGTTATAAAACACATTCCTGGAAGACCATTGTCGTCCCAAGAACATACCGAAGTTATGACCCAAGGCGGCTGGATTATTGTTAAGCGTAATATGTTCAGTTCAATTGTTTGAGTTTCTACGTGAATGAAGGGAGCATTTTATTTATTACCTCTCCCCTAAGTGCAGTTTAGCTATCCATTTCCAGGCTAATGCATGTACACCCAAATGAACCCTGTAAACATAATAACCAAACATTATTCAATTCTTGAAAATGAAGTTGAATATTTCTACTAACAAACATAGTAAGAAACTTAAAGCACTTGGTGTATCACGAGGTTAACTGTTTCCCAGACAAATTTAGAACTGAACAAACAGTGTGTATGTAATTAATTATCGATCAGTTGCAACATTGTTGATAAAACTTTTAGTTAATTCCGAAAAATCAAATATTGTCTAGCTCTTTTATTTCTTCTTGACATGAAAACAGTCAAAGTATTGCTTAGATTTGGAAGCTTCATAAAAATAGCACCCTCATTCTCAGAAATTCGCAGTTTTTCTGCAATTGAAAGACAATACCGGGTTTGTCTATTTATTCTGTATTTAATAGCATTTACATACAGCCTTTTTCACTTTTACAAAGACACAATGAAAAACGTCGATTTTGTTCTCAGTATTTTAAACGTGCTGGTCCACATTGGTTTTAGTTCGTATACTCTTATTATTGCATCTTTATTTAAAAAAGACCAATGGTATTCATTCTTAAAAAAACTAAATAATATTCAAACACGTGGGTACAACGATAAACACCATTATTATATAATTTTGGTAGTTTTCACCCTTTTCGTCAATATTATTCTTAATTCTTATTGTTCATTCGTTATTTTCGGCGCAGAACTCCTGAAGGTATTTTTCATCGCAATATTTCAGCTTTGTATTCTAATATTTTATTTATTGCTGACTTATGCTGGAGCATACGAAATTTTGAAAATATATCAAACTCAAACTTCTTTGCTACGTGCGGCAACAACCCTTTCAAACACCAGTATTTTTGAAAATGTTAATTATAAACTTTTTCTACTAAAAGAAGTTGTTGGTATTTTTAACGACATATTCGGATGGCCCCTTCTATTCTGTTTTCTGTCTATCGCAAGTAGTACCCTTGGGTTTCTGAGTACTTTGGTGACAGGTGGCTACGCCAGTTTTCTCAATTACACCACATTCTTTCAAATATACATCACTACTGAACTATTGTTCCTGCTGTTCTGTTGGGTAAGTTAATTTTAGTAGGTAAATGACTCGTTAATTAATACGTATGATTTTAAGGTTGGTTTGTTAAATGTCACTTTTTTTCTTCACTCCGTTGTAACTGAATATGAAGAAATATTAATTACGTTATATAAGCTGGAGACGTCGTCAGGTAAAAGAAACCAACAGGATCTTCGTATCTGTATTAAGACAACACTGAGGTACCATCCATATATTTCAGCTGCTGGATTTTTTACTGTTAA